AGGGGGCCCTTGAGAATCTAATTTTTCATAAATTGAATTTTAAAAAAAAACTATGAATAAACAACACCGCATAATTTTTAAAATAAATATATTCTCGTGTAAAAAGTGAGCATTTTTTTTCTATCAATAGTGATTGTTTATCATGTAAACACCAACAATTTGAACAGTTTAGAAAGCCAACCGAAATTTATTTTTTTACGTTAAAATGAAGTTTTTCGGTACTCTTTGAGTCAATGTCTCTAAATATGCTTGACCGCCATCCACTCTGTTTAGTATTTATAATGAGTTAAATAAAGTAATAATTGAAAGAGTTTAGAATTGCAGAGCACAATGGGACAGCAACTTTTAAACTGATTGTGTCTGATGTGCAGTGAAAGATGTTTAAATAACCAATTTTTTAATAGTTGGACGAAATAATTCGTACTTTTAGAATTATTTTTTTATTTGTTATACCCTCAAGTTTTTCTAATTAAATTATTTTTTATTAGCTTCTTGGTTTATCAAAATTATTCCATTATTTGAGGATTGCAACTGATGGTTAGTACCTCAAATCTCAATTTTAAAAAAAAAATGATGCATATGGGGATCCTAAATTATTTATTTAGGACCACACGTTTAAAAATGCTTTTTTTTAATGCTTTTCATTGAGTGTTTAGGGGTAATAAAAATATGTTTAAGTTAGTTAAAATTATTGCATATCTTAAAAATGCTTTGTTTTATGTATGTGAAGTTTTTTAGTTCGATTTTTAACAGTATGACAAGCTACAGTCAAAACATTTCTGTGCCCGGGGGCCCTGCTTGCCTCTAAGACGGCCGTGGGGTCGAGTCTTGCTGGCTTCAGCTCCTGAAAAGTTTTGGAACTTTCACAACTTGTGAATGTTGCTATGAGAATGTATTAAGAAAAATGTAAAAAATAATTTTGGTTTGGAAAATTTCTTGAAGACTTCGAGACAACCCGAGTCAAATTGATTATTATACAACACTGTAAAAAAAAGAAAAAAAATGTACAGTGTAGTAGAGTGTGACTCGGGTTGTCTCCAGCTCTTCAAGAAATTTTCTAATCCAAATTTTTCCCAGTCTTGTCCTTGCGTATCATTCTCAATAAAACTTTCAAAATAACACCAACCTAATGTATCTTGGAAGTATCACAAATCCCCATGAATCTTGGAGCATGTCCAAACCCATTATCACAGTTTTTCCTTCCCTTTTCCAAAAAAGGATGGGTAAAAAAATGGGGGAAGGTCTCTTTTGAGACAGTTCCCCCATTTTTTTACAATATTTGTATTGCCAAGATTGAAAATTTTATTGTTTGACACTACGACAATTTGTTGGTAAATGGTAAATGACTTGGAGACCCCCATTGTTTTGCAACACATGTTTTGCCAAGACTGGAAAATTTCATTCTTTGAACGAATAAAAACGAATCGGTACAACAGATTGTGTTTGTATGGTCACTGTTTTAAACTCCACGGATGTGATGCAACGAGTTGAGTGAATGTGCATTTGTCATTTGCAGTGCATTGGGAATTTTCCAAGGATCAAACACACCGTGTACCTTGTCGTTTTGCGCTTGTATTTTTGAAGGAGTCGCTGTACTCGGGTATTTTTTCGAGTGATTGTATTTATGTCAGCCCTGTGGTCCGTGCAAGCCGGGAGCAGAATTTACGTCGATCAACCACGTTGGGAT